TAGTTAAGTTATTTTTTCTTATTTTTTTTTAGGCTTACTGCTTGACACTGCATTTTGGAAAGATTTTTAAGTGGTATTGCTTTCTAGTGAAAGATTACTTCATGGCACTTTTATCCTGGGAGGATTACTTTTGGGCACTATTGTCTATGAGTAATTACTTTAAATTGCAATATTATTTTCTAGGATGATTTTTGCTTATCATTATTGAGCAATAAGGATTACCTCATGCCAGTTGTGTTGTATTTATGACAACAAACATTTGTTGTCACTTAAAGGTAAAGAGTATCTCATGCCAATGTTGTACATGGAAGAATTTCTTTGTAGTGTGTGTGGGGAAGATTACTTTAAGACTCAATCATGTGTGGAGGTTACTTTGTGTAACTTGTGTATGATTCATTTTGTATCACTTGTATCAGCTGGATTACTTCATGCACTGTTTTAGGATGAGGATTTCTTCACACACTACTCTTGTGTGTGGTATTATGCTTTGGGGGGGGAATATTTTTTGCCACTATTATGTAGCAAAATGACCTAATGTTTCTTGTCGCAAGTAGGTGGGGGTGATGGGGGTGGGGTGTGCTCACCTAGTTGTGCTTGCAGGGGTTGAGCTTTAGCTCTTTTCTTTTTGGGGTGGGTGTGTGTGTAATTACCTAAGTGTAGTTACAGGATGAGAGCTACGCTCGTGGTGTCCTGTCTACCCAGCACTCTGTCATATAACGCTTTGAAGCTACTGACGGTTTTGGCCTCCACCACCTTCTCACCTAACTTGTTCCAACTGTCTACCACTCTGTTTGCGAAAGTGAATTTTTTTATATTTCTTCGGCATTTGTGTTTAGTTAGTTTAAATCTATGACCTCTTGTTCTTAAAGTTCCAGGTCTCAGGAAATCTTCCCTATCAATTTTATAAATTCCTGTTACTATTTTGTACGTAGTGATTATATCACCTCTTTTTCCTTCTGTCTTCTAGTTTTGGCATATTTAATGCCTCTAACCTCTCCTCGTAGCTCTTGCCCTTTAGTTCTGGGAGCCACTTAGTGGCATGTCTTTGCACCTTTTCCAGTTTGTTGATGTGCTTCTTTAGATATGGGCACCATACAACCGCTGCATATTCCAGCTTTGGTCTAGCAAAAATCGTGAACAATTTCTTTAATATTTCACCATCCATGTATTTAAAAGGAATTCTGAAGGTAAAAAGTGTAGCATAGACTCCTCGCACAATGTTCTTAATGTGGTCCTCAGGTGATAGTTTTCTATCTAGAACCACCCGAAGAGCTCTTTCTTTATCAGACTTCTTTACAGATTCCTCACATAATTTGTGTGGGGTCTGTTCTCCTATTCCACATTCCATAACATAGCATTTACTTACATTAAATTCCATGCTCCATATAGTGGTACTCCATATACTTATTCTGTCCAGGTCTTCTTGAAGGGTATGACAATAATCTAAGTTACTTATCTTGCCTATTATCTTAGCATCATCAGCAAACATGTTCATATAATTCTGTATTCCATCTGGTAGATCGTTTATGTAGACAATGAACATTACTGGTACAAGAACTGAACTCTGTGGTACTCCGCTTGTGACATTTCTCCAGTCCGATACACTTCCTCTTATTACTGCCTTCATTTTTCTATCAGTCAGAAAGTTTTTCATCCATGTTAGCAGCTTACTTGTCACCTCTCCAATGTGTTCCAATTTCCAGAATAACCTCTTATGTGGAACTCTGTCAAAAGCCTTTTTTTTAGGTCCAGATAGATGCAGTCAACCCAACCATCTCTTTCCTGTAAAATCTCTGTGGCTTGATCATAGAAACCGAGTAAATTTGTTACACAAGATCTTCCAGATCGAAAACCATACTGACGGTCTGATATTATATCGTTTGTCTCCAGGTGTTCTACCCATTTAATCTTAATTATTTTTTCCAATATTTTGACTATTACACTTGTCAACGATACAGGTCTATAATTGAGGGCGGTCTTCTCTGTCGCCACTTTTGTAGATTGGAACTATGTTAGCCTTTTTCCACACGTCTCCTATGACTCCTGTACATAGGGATGCCTGAAAAATCAGGTGAAGTGGAATACTGAGCTCGGATGTGCATTCTCTCAGAACTCATGGTGAAACTCCATCTGGACCAATTGCTTTGTTCTTACTTAGCTCCTTGAGCATATTTTCCACTTCGTCTCTAGACACCACTATGTGCTCTATGTTGTTCTCTGGAATTCTTATTGTGTCTGGTTCCCTGAAGATTTCATTTTGAACAAACACACTTTGGAACTTTTCATTTAATGTTTCACACATTTCTTTTTAATTTTCTGTGAATCTGTTTCCCATTTTTAACCTCTGGATATTATCTTTTACCTGCAATTTGTTGTTTATGAATTTGTAGAATAGGCCTGGTTCTGTTTTACACATCTCTGCTATCCCTTTTTCAAAATTTCTTTCTGCCTCTCTCCTTACTGCTGTGTAGTTGTTTCTTGCATCTTTGTATCACTGGTATGTTTGAGGGTTTGACCTCTTCCTATTTTGATTCCATTTGTGTCTTTTGGTCTCTGGCCCTCTCACAATTTCTGTTGAACCAATCCTGTTTCCTAGTTCTGCATCTCTGCTTTGGTATAAATTTTGTTGTGCCTTTATCATACATTTCACAAAAACTTGACATACACCTCATTTACTTCATGTCCTAACAGCAAGTCTTTCCAGTCAAATTCCTTAAAGAAATGTCTGAGTTCCCCATAATGACCTCTCCTGAAACCAGGCTTTTCAACTGCTTCAACCTCATTATCTTCCAGATTATAATGCACTGCATACTTTGTTCCCAAAAAGAAATGGTCACTTTTACCCAAGGAAGGAAGGTACTGAATGTTAAATATCTCTTTCCTCTTTCCTGGTAAATATCAAATCCAGCATGGAGGGAACATCCCCTCGCACCTGACAGCTGACTGGACAGCGGATTTGTAGTCCTAAGGTTCCAGGTTCGATTCCCGGTGGAGGCGGAGACAAATGGGCAAAATGTTTCTTTCACCCTGATGCCCCTGTTACCTAGCGGTAAATAGGTACCTGGGAGTTAGACAGTTGCTACGGGCTGCTTCCTGGGTGTGGGGGGGGGGGGTGTAAAAAAAAGAAAAAAAAAAAAAAAAAAAAAAAAAAAAAAAAAGAGGAGGCCTGGTCAAGGACCTGGCAGCAGGGACGCTAAGCCCCGAAATCATCTCAAGATAACCTCAAGATTCCCTCATCTCGTAGCTTGTTTAACATGTTAAAACATGAATGTGTCCAGGATGAGGTTTACGAATCTTCAAGTCCAAAAATCCTCTGTTCTAGCTTCATATGCCTCCCAGTCTATGGATTTCAAATTGAAGTCACCGACTACCAAAAGTTGTGATCTATCTTTATCAGCTCTCGCTATAATTTCGCTCATTATTATTATAAGACCCTCTCATTTATTATCTAGCTCCTTTGTTCAGGTGTTGCTTGGACTATATGGTTGTGGTGGACTATATGCATTTATAGTTGTTAGTTTATCATCCTGATTGCAGATCTCTAGTGCTATTATGTCAACTTCTCGTGGATTGGCAATCATTATTTCGTTTACCTTTGGGTGTTCTTTCACCAGCACAGCAACGCCACCGCCTTTCCTAATTTTTCTGTCCCGTCTCCAAACTGAGTAGCCCCTTGGGAATATGACCTCATTTAAAATATCGACAGTTTTAGCCTCCACCACCTTCTTACCTAACTTGTTCCAACTGTCTATCAACTAGTGGGTGTAATTACCTAAGTATAGTTACAGGATGAGAGCTACGCTCACAATGTCCCGTCTTCCCAGTACTCTTTGTTGTATAACATTTTGAAACTACTAACGGTTTTGACCTCCACCACCACCACCTCACTTACCTTGTTCTATCTATCTATCACTCTGTTTGCAAAAGAAAACTTTCTAATGTTTTTTCAGCACCTTTGTATCCTTAGCTTGAATCTGTGTCCTCTTGTTCGTGATGTTGCCTCCTTGTCAATTTGGTCGATTTCTGTTAGAATTTACTATGTGGTGATCATATCACCTCTTTTTCTTCTATCTTCTAGTTTTGTCATGTTTAATGTCTGTAGTTTCTCCTCGTAACTCTTGTTTTTCAGTTCTGGAAGCCATTTTGTAGCATGCCGCTGCACCTTTTCCAGTTTCTTTATGTGCTTCTTGAGATTTGGGCATCCATCATACAACTGCTGCATATTCCAGTTTCGGTCTCACAAAAGTCATGAAGTTTTTTTTAGTATTTCACCAATCACATAATTAAAAGCAAGTCTGAAGTTGGAAAGCGACGCATACGCTCCTCTCACAATGTTCTTTATATGTTCCTCTGGCGACAGCTTACAATCCAAAACCACCCCTAGGTCTCATTCTTTATTAGAGTTCTGTAATTCTATTCCACATAATTTGTAAGTTGTGTCTGGTCTGCAGCTCTGTTTTGGTATGAATGTTTGAGTGCCTTCATTGTATATTTCACAAAATTTGGCATACATCTCATTTACTTCTTTGCCTAGCAACAAGTCTGTCTAATTATACTCATTAAATTTTTGTTTAAGTTCCCCATAGAGTCCTCTCTTGAAATCGAGTTTATCAACTGTTTCAATGTCCCCATTCTCTTGTGTGTGTACTCGCCTAGTTGTGCTTGTAGGGGTTGAGCTCTGGCTCTTTTTGTCTCGCCTCTCAACTGTCAATTAACGTGTACAGATTCCTGAGCCTATCATATTGATTTGAAACTGCGAATGGAGTCTGCCTCCACCACATCACTGCCTAATGCATTCCATCTGTTAACTACTCTGACACTTAAAAAGTTCTAACTTCCCTGTGGCTCATTTGGGTATTAAGTTTCCACCTGTGTCCCGTTGTTCGCATACTACCCGTGTTAAACAGTTTATCCTTATCTATCCTGTCCATTCCTCTGAGAACTTTATGTGTGTGTGTGTGTGTGTGTGTGTGTGTGTGTGTGTGTGTGTGTGTGTGTGTGTGTGTGTGTGTGTGTGTGTGTGTGTGTGTGTGTGTGTGTGTGTGTGTGTGTAACTATTTAAGTGTAGTTACCAATTACTGAATGTACGAATGTGCGTGTGTATGTGCATGCATGTATGTATACTCACCTAGTTGTGCTTGCGGGGGTTGAGCTTAGGCTCTTTGGTCCCTTTGGCTGTGTGTGTGTATGTAATTATCTAAGTGTATTTACCAATTATAAATGCACATGTGTGTGAGTTTTTAAAAGAAGACAGGGTTGTTGTCTTGATTCTATCAACAAAGCAATATTCTGATTAATTTTATTTCTAAAAAAGATTCTTTGGCTATTAAGAATAATGTCTGCCAGCAACCTCATTCAAGTTAATCATGAGAGGTTTACAATGTTAGCAAGGCAGGTTCCTTTTCATGTCAATACTATATTTCTTAGGAAGAAAGCTACAACTGATGTTTATTTACATATCTCATCAATTTAATAGCCCTTATATTTTTGTCAATGCTTTTCAACTTGTCACTTCCCCATTTAATTATTAAATACACTTTCTGATATTTTTGAAGAGATGGGACCTTTTAAATGTCACTCTCCCTGGTCTCTATACTAACATAACATCTCTTGCAGCTACCGTACTGTGTAATCCACGTTAGCAATGCTGTTTTATTGTGGGCAATTTCATGAATGTTCACCAAGAGTCAGTACTATCTCTTAACTATGCCCAATTACATAGCTTTTCTGGAGTTTAGTTGTGTTGCTGATTTGCATGTTCTTGCTGGCAATATCAGCAGTCGGTAGCATTATTACTTAATATGATGTTGAATGTCACTGTGTTGCTCGCAGATACTTTCATGATCAATCAATAGTATATCACTGGTTAGTACTGAAATGCAAGATGACAGGAGAGTGCTAGCTGATCCTGTGTTTTTGGCTGATACACTCCACCTACACCCAAAGATGGCACTTTTTCTCTGGGTTCATTGGGGACCCAATAGGACAACCCCAGGTGTCAGCGAAGAACTGGGAATTCTGTGCAACAACGTTAGCTCTATAGACTCCTGGGCTGTGCATGTCCTTGCTGTATTTCTCATAGCCCTCCTTGCTCACCACTTCACACCAGATCTAGGAAATAGGAAGATATTATGATGTAAGGGATGTGTGTGTGTGTGGGGGTTAATGTTTGCATGGGAAAAATGTGTTAAATAGTAATTAATGGCTATTGAAGGTGTTTGAGGGCATCAGCCTGATATATGGTTATGAATGTACATCACCTGAACAAGAGAAATGCATTTATAGATAAATTTATTATTTAGTATTTAAAACTGGCGGTAGATTTGTATTATTCATGAAATACATTATATGCAATCTACAAATAGTTAGGAAAGAAAATTTTGTTTACGAAGTTCTCCTCTTTAATAATTTGACTGCATGAAAACATGCTCTCCAGGCATTTCAATGGTATAAATATAAATTTTTACAGGAAAATACAGCATTAAGATTTATCAACAATATAATTGTAGGATAAATATAATTGTAGAATATAAGTGGTTATAACACCATGTTATAACCACTGGTTGCATCCCCCTTTAAATAACAATCATTTAAACAAGAACAGTAGTTGTGCAATAATATACAGTATATACAAATAAAAACTTTTTTAAGTGTGCAATTGATTAAAATGTTGTTATTGCAGCATTTTATAGCTTTTCTATTATTGTCTCATGCATTAAAGGCTTCTTTTCAAGCGATACGTATAAGAAAAATAATAAACCTTTGTTTACATACACAAAATCAAGCGTTAAATGTAATTAAACACCAATTTCTGGCTGGGCTCTTGATAGCTCTCTGAGCTTAACTCTGGTGCCACCAAGCATGCCAGACCTCTAGGAGAAGCAGGGAAGGCCCATACATTCCTTGCAGATCCCAGAGCTTCAACAGAGGAAACAGATTGAACAAAGTATGGAAAGAAACCCACAACTTGAAGTTGTGGCTGTACCAAAAGACACATTCACCAAAGCATAAAATACAGTTGGTAATTGAAGGCAACCACAGTATGTGGGGTGAAGCAGGAAGAATGGCAAGAAATGCAAACAGGTGCAAGATTCACAGAAAGCAAATACCTCCACAGAAACAGTGGGACAGTCATTGGATGTAAAGAGTAAATGGCCAGTGTTGACAGGGAAGGGTTGGCATCAGCAGAACCACAGCCTGAGGCAATAAATGAGAAGTAATTACCTAAGTGTAATTACCTAAGTGTAGTTACAGGATGAGAGCTACACACGTGGTGTCGCGTCTTCCCAGCACTCTTTGTTGTGTAACGCTTTGAAACTACTGGCGGTTTTGGCCTCCACCACCTTCTCGTCTAACTTGTTCAAACCGTCCACCACTGTTTGCGAAAGTGAATTTTCTTATATTTCTTTGGCCGCTTTGTTTAGTTAGTTTAAATCTATGACCGCTTGTTCTTGAATTTCCAGATCTCAGGAATTCTTCCCTATCAATTTTATCGAGTTCCGTTACTATTTTGAATGTGGTGATCATATTGCCTCTTTCTTTATCTCCTAGTTTTGACATTTAATGCCTCTAACCTCTCCTCGTAGCTCTTGTCCTTCAGTTCTGGGAGCCATTTAGTTGCATGTCTGGACCTTTTCCAATTTGTTGATGTGCTTCTTAAGATATGGGTACCTTACCTTGCGATGATTTTGGCGCTCAATGTCCCTGTGGCACGGTCGTCAACCAGTCGAAGGTACCATATAATCGCTGCATATTCCAACTTTAGTTTAACAAAAGTAGTAAACAATTTCTTTAGTAATTCATTATCCATGTACTTAAAAGCCACTCTGAAATTAGAAAGTGTAGCATAGGTTTTTCACACGATGTTCTTTATGTGGTCCTCAGGTGATAGGGTTCTATCTAGAACCACCTCTAAATCTCTTTATTTATCAGAATTCTTTAACCCTTAAACTGCACAACATGTCACATGACGCATTGAGTAACTTACCCAAGAGTGTGCATCATGTTAGATGACATGTTGGAGTACTACGCAAGATTAAAACGGCCCGTGGACACACGGGGTTCACCTCACCTTCATCAGGGCTCTTGTAAACAGACACCATTAAAAAAAAAAATTGTGGGCCACATTCCCGGGTGTGAGGTCCTTGGTACTGAGTGAGCCACCAAGGCTGACACTCGCAGCATGAGCTCACAGCACTGCTGTTCAGCTTGTGACCACAGCATCGCCTAAAAATGCCATAATATATATGTACGTGCTATTATTTAGCGATGATAGTATTACAGAAGACCCCTGACCGTGATAAAAATGACCAGGATTCTGATAATAGCAGGATTGTTGTGATAACTAGCAATGTTGTGGGAGGAGTAATCTTGGTGGGGAGGGAGGTAGTGTTGTCTGCTGACTCTGTGTGACCACCTTTTACTGTCTGGACTTACTATACCAGCTTAGTTGTTCGCTATGGTGAACAAAACATGCAGATACTTATATATAATGTCTTTGTATGGTGAATAAAAGCAAAAACAGTATGGTGGGAGAATGGCAGCGAGTCATGTGAGGTGAGGGAGGGAGTGACAACCAGTGGCAGGCTGCCACTGGCTGCCACTGCCACTCAGCACACCAACTTAGTGGTTCGTTATAGTGAACACAAATGTAGATACTTATATATAATGTGTATATATAGTGTAATAACAGCAAAAGGAGTGTAAGGGGAGAAGCCATTTTGGCGAGAGGTGGCGACATCTGCATGATTTGTCATGTTGGTAGGAGTGGCCACTATGCTCTTTGGGCACTATACCAGTTTAGATGAACAGTTATAGTTAACAGAACATGTAGATACTTATATATAATGTCTGTATATAGAGAATAAACACAAAAACAGTCTGGTGGGAGGAGGATGTGGGCGAGTGAGGAGTCATTGAGGGAGGGAGTGGCAGCGAGAGGCTGACTGGCAGATGTGGTGGCCACACCTCGCTGCTTTTTGACTCGCAATATCATCTTGGTGGTTCTTTATGGTGAACAAAACATGCAGATACTTATATATAACCTGTGTATATAGTGTAATAACCGACAAAGTATTTATTTATTGCTTTATGAGCACAATAATTGAATCAATAATATGCACACCATAATTTTGAGTACAGCGATGATTCACACATTTTATTATATAAATATATCACACTACACATTATTGAATAATATTACAACAAAAAAACAAAGAAAAATCAAGCAGAGACATTGAAATAATTACGTAATTATCTCTTTGTGACCACTCCTGCTTGACAGTTGGGGCTGAGCATACCGCCTTGGACGCATGCTGAGTCAGTACCTCTTTTTTGCCAGACTTTCCCGCCCTATAGCGGCCAAAATATGCCACTTACACTTTGTCACTAATAAAAAATCGTAAGTGGCAAAATATGCCACTTATACTTTATTATTTTTCCCGTGATCAGGGAACACAAATTAACAGGTTTAGAAGAATTATTATTATTTTTTTTTGTTATGCACCTGTGAGTGACAATGGCCAAATAGCCCTTAGCAACATAAGGGTTAAAGATTTCTAGCATAATTTATGGGTTGTGTGGGGTCTATGTTCTCCTATTCCACATTCCATAACATGGCCTTTATTCATATTAAATTTCATTTGCCAAGTGGTGCTCCATACACTTATTTTGCCCAGGTCTTCAGGAAGGGCATAACAATCATCTATCCTGAGGTTATCTTGAGATGATTTTGGGGCTTAGCATCCCCGCGGCCCGGTCCTTGACCAGGCCTCCTTTTTGTTACACACCCCCGGGAAGCAGCCCGTAGCAGCTGACTAACTCCCAGGTACCTATTTACTGTTAGGTAACAGGGACATCAGGGTGAAAGAAACATTTTGTCTATTTGTCTTCACTTCCACCGGGGATCGAACCCGGAACCTCAGGACTACGAATCCGAAGCGCTGTCCACCCAGCTGTCAGGCGCCAAGGTTTTAGGCCCCAATCTAAGTTTCTTATCTTCCCTATTATCTTAGCATCATCAGCAAACATGTTCATATAATTTTGTATTCCATCTGGTAGGTCATTTATGTAGACAATGAACATTATTGGTGCAAGAACTAAACCATGTGGTACTCCACTCGTGACATTTATGCAGTTCGATACATTGCCTCTGATTACTGCCTTCATTTTTCTATCAGTTAGAACATTTTCATCAATGTTAGAAGCTTACCTGTTACCCCTCCAATATGTTCCAGTTTCCAGAACAACCTCTTACATGGAACTCTGTTGAAAGCCTTTTTTAGGTCCAGAAAGATGCAGTCAACCCAAATATATCTTTCCTTTAAAATCTCTGTGGCTCAATCATAGAAACTGAGTAAATTTGTTACACAGGATCTTCCAGATTGAAAACCATACTGTGTCTGATATTACATCGTTTGTCTCCAGGTGTTCTACCCATTTAATCTTAATTATTTTTAACCCCTGAAACTGCCCATCTCAGACCTTCTAAACTCTGCCCTAACTCCAAAGCTGACGGCACCTAGGTACAGTCCTCATTGGACTGGGTGAACTGAGTCACAAACACGCAGAATAACTTGCAGGACTCTGGGTTGAAGGTGTCACCTACCCAACAGGCAGTATGAAGGAGGCAAAAACAGCGAGTCACCCTGAGTCAAGGGGCAGAGTAACCCTCAACACTCGCACAAGGTGAGAGGGGACTCAGGGGTTGCATCCATCGGACCCCTTGCGCCCCCACAGGGTTTTCCCAGGGCTCTTAGACTGGTATCTCTAAGGGAAAGCCTAGGGCAGGGTACTGCAAACCGGCGCCCAAGTCTACCAATCAAACTGCTAAAAGCCGAACCCCCTGGGACGTGTCTACTCACGGGAGCCTAGCAGGGGAAACCACCAGGAAACACAGATATATATATATATCTATAAACCTAAGTCATAGATAGGGGGGCAACAAACCAAAGGCAGACCCCCTACCAGGCAGGAAAAAAACAAAAAAACACACAAGAGGTCAACGTACCCAGGCATAACAGAGCTGGCTGCTTTAATAGGTGAAAACAAGTTGTGCAATACCCCACACCCCTACCAGTGCAAACTACCTCTTACCCTAGGATAAACAAGGGAGGAGGAAACCTCCCAGCACATTTAGGGTGGTCAATTACCGAGCAGCAAAAGATCAATAGAGGTAGATCCCAAGGTGACTTGTGAAAGATAACTCCAAGCCCCAAGGGCGGTACTTACAGGGTACTTAGGGAAGGGAACCCTAAATGCATGCAGCCCAAGTACCTGTGAAGATTACTCCCAGCACATGCATCACCCTAAAGACAGCACTAAACACAAGGCACAGCACTGAGAACAACAAACAGGAGCTGGAGTCACACAACCAAGCCTCAATAACATCAGCCGAGAACTGAAGGTGTGGGTAGCCAGCGTGAGGGGTCTGGGGCTCCCCCTTCCCCCTCCTGGGAAAGGGGGAGCTGCGCAGACGGTGGCACGGCAACGTGATGACGTCATGCTTGTTTGCTTGTTATTCTTTGGGGAGTTCTGTCCACTCATTTGACTTTTAGTACTGTAGTAGTTTCAACCAGAATATGGGTTTGTTTTGGGATGCTTACTTTTCTGGGTGCCTGATACAGTCGATGGCAGACATAGAATGCTCCAAATCACATGTGCAATTCTATAGGCCATTGCTCCTCTTGCCTCTCTGAGGGAGCCAGGTTCTGGCTCGTGGGTCCCCGGTAGGCCTAAGAACTCCATTCACACTGACTGATGCCAAAGTCTAATAGTTCCCTATCAGCCTGGATAAGCTCCAAGGAGCCGAAGGGGCTCCCCCTAGAAAAGCATAATATTGGTATCTGCATCATCTGTTGAAGACATGTTCTCCAAAGGCTATATTGTAAAGCCCAGTTCAACAAAGCAGCTACAGCCCAGAAGGTGCCTATATAAGCAAGGGGCTTGGCCAAAAACGAAGTTCAGCAGCAACAAATAATACACACGCATGGGGGTACAGGATCCTAGAATAGAGGCACCAGAAAAGGCCATAGCGGTCAAAAACGTGTCCTCTTGTTAGTGATGTTGCTGGTTTCAGGAATTCTTCCTTGTCAATTTGGTTGATTCCTGTTAGAATTTTGTATGTGGTGATCATATCACCTCCTTTTCTTCAATTTTCTAGTTTTGGCATGTTTAATGTCTGTAGTCTCTCCTCGTAGCTCTTGTTTTTCAGTTCCGGAAGCCATTTCGTAGCATGCCGCTGCACCTTTTCCAGTTTATGTGCTTCTTGAGATTTGGGCACCATACAACTGCTGCATAGTCCAGTTTTGGTCTCACAAAAGTTATGAACAGTTTCTTTAGTATTTCACCATCCATATAATAAGTTGAAAAGCGATGCATACACTCCTCTCACAAAGTTCTTTATGTGGTCCTCAGGTGATAGTTTTCTATCTAGAACCACCCCCCCCTAGATATCTTTCTTTATCAGAATACTGTACAGTACTTTAAAGAGTTCTCACATAGTTTATAGGTTGTGTGGGGTCTATGTTCTCCTATTTCACATTCCATAACATGACATTTATTCACATTAAATTCCATTTGTCTAGAGGTGCTCCATATACTTATTTTGTTCAGGTCTTCAGGAAGGGCATGGCAATCCTCTAAGTTACTTATCTTCCCTATTATCTTTACATCATCGGCAAATATGTTCATATAATTCTGTATTCCATCTAGTAGATTGCTTATGTAGATAATGAACATTACTGATGCAAGAACTGAACCCTGTGGAACTCCTCTTGTGACATTTCTCCAGTCCAATACATTACCTCTGATTACTTCTCATTTTTCTATCAATTATTAAATTTTTCATCCATCTGTCACCCCTCCAATATGTTCCAATTTCCAGAACAACCTCTTATGTGGAATTCTGTCGAAAGCCTGTTTTAGGTCCAGATAGATGCAGTCAACCCAACCATCTCTTTCCTGTAAAATCTATATGGCTCATAGAAACTGAGTAAATTCATTACACAGAATCTTCCAGATCAAAAACCATACTGACTGTCTGATATTATATAATTTTTCTCCAGGTGTTCTACCCATTTAGTTTTAACTGTTTTCCAATATTTTGACTATTATGATTGTCAATGATACAGGTCTATAATTGAGGGAGTCTTCCCTGCTGTCATTTTTGTAGATTGGAACTTTGTTAGCCTTTTTCCACACATCTGCTAGGACTCCTGTACACAAGAATGCCTGAAGAATCAGTTGAAGTAGAATGCTGAGCTCGGGTGCACATTCTCTCAGAACCCATGGTGAAACTCCATCCGGGCCAACTGCTTTGTTCTTACTCTCTTTGTTCCTTGAGCATTTTTTTTCACTTCGTCTCTAGACACCTCTATGTACTCTATGTTGTTCTCTGGAATTCTTATTGTGTCTGGTTCCCTGAAAATTTCGTTTTGAACAAACACACTTTGGAATTTTGTTTAATGTTTCACACATTTCCATTTCATTTTCCATGAATCTGTTTCCCATTTTCAACCTTTGAAAATTATCCTTTACCAGCAATTTGTTGCATATGAATTTATAGAATAGGCCTGGTTCTGTTTTACCTTTATCCACTATCCCCTTTAAAAAAAAATTTCTGCCTCTCCTCGCTGTCGTGTAATTGTTTCTCACATTCTTTGTTTTGCTGGTATGTTTGGGGGTTTGGCATCTTCCTATTTTGATTCCATTTTTGTGTCTTTTGGGCTCTGACCCCTCATGCAATTTCTGTTGAACAATCCTGTTTCCTAGTTCTGCATCTCTGCTTTGGTATAAATTTGTATGAGCCTTTATCATATATTTTATAAAACTTGACATACATCTCATTTACTTCATTTCCTAACAGCAAGTCTTTCAAGTCAATTTCCTTAAAGAAGTTTCTAAGTTTCCCATAATGTTGTCTCCTGAAATCAGGTTTTTCAACTGCTTAAACCTTCTTATTTTCTTCCAGATTATAATGCATCGCATACTTTATTACCAAAACAATTGGTTACTTTTACCCAAGGGAGGAAGGTACTAAATGTCAAATATATCTTCCTCTTTCCTGGTAAATATCAAATCCAGCATGGAGAGAACATCTACTTCCCTCATCCTCTTAGCTTGTTTAACATGTTGATACAAGAATGTTTCCAGGATGAGGTCTACGAATCTACAGGTTCAAAAATCCTCTCTTCTAGCTTCATATGCTTCCTATTCTATGGATTTCAAGTTGAAGTTTGATCAACTTCAAACTTGTGTGTGTGTAGATATCACTGACATCATAGTTTTAACTCTGGTGACCTTTTTAGATACTGCTGGAGTGTAAAAGATGAAAATAAGGTATATCTGGGATGGTGTTGCAGGTCCATACCTGGGCAAAAGTGATGAAGAAGATTTGTGGTACGGTGTAGTTCATTCCTGGTAGGTAAGGCTCTTCTCCATTCTTCTCCCTCCAACGGGTGTAAGCCAGCCAAGCATTGAGCACGCCTGCATTGTCACAAATGTTGTCCCCGAGTGTCTCGTTGCCATCAACCTGCCCAGGAGATGGAAATCAACAAATACATTATGAAATCAATTGCAGCAATTAAAAATGTGTAAAATCAATAGGCAAAATTGTCCTTAATTATAGTAGCTTCTTATTAAATAAAATGAAGACACTATACCTATATGAGAAAGAATACAGAGTTTTAATAGCCGTAATAATAATTTAGTGTCAAAAGGTTACTAAGGTACAAAGAGCCAAGTCCGAAATATATTTTGTCAGTCTTTCAAATTCTTTAAAGACTGGATGATGAATGAAAAACAAATGGTACATATGTACCATTTAAATTTTGTAATCTTACTTGGTTTTACTGTAGGTGAGAAGGAATTTTAAGTTTGAGGCACCATTTGACGTAGAATGCCGGAGACAATGACAATAGGGTTTTAAAACATCAGGAATACCACAAGCTGCAACAGGAAATAACATTCACCTGACTTGCTTTGATCAACCCAAGAGTCTGATGTTTTCACTATTGCTCCATACTGAAAGATGTTGACATTTTGGCATATTGTGAAATGTGGATATTAGGTGAACTTATAGCTACCTCTTGATTTATACTCTGTAATCCCTCATATATAACAGGGTAGCAACACATTGCTGTGTACCTAAGCTTGTTAATAATAATAATAATAATAATAATAATAATAATAATAATAATAATAATAATAATAATAATAATAATAAATAATAAAGTATTTTCTAAAAGGAGACTTTAAAGCATTTATCCCTCTCACTCTTATATGGAACTTGAAAAGCATGCCCATCTTCTTAATCTAAGAATGTAAAGTTCCTGTCTCTCAATTTCAGAGGTGTAGCTTAATGTGTGTGTTTGTTACTTTCAAAATAAAATTTAAACCATATACAGGGGTTTCATTAAGGATCCATTCAAAGAATTTTCAGAATTCCATATCAGATTTTCTTTAATTAGCTTGCCTTATGGCAATTTCCGAGAAATTATCACAATAATGTACATTTACGTGTATTTTCTGAATTGCCAGATCCTACCAATATGTGTATACAGAGGCTGTGCATGTAACATCAGTGCAATGCTAGCATTAAAACAGCATTGATTTACAATGAAAACAATATATTTTCAACTTACCAGCATGAACTTTAGAGAATTTGTTGTTAAGAATGGCCTCACGGCAGGCTTTGTAGAACATATAAATCCATGGTTCGTTAGAGTCCAACCATGGAAAGAAAGAAAACCATTGGTTGTGCATTTGATTTTCATGATGTGAATGATTTGTCTAAACTCAAGAAAAACCTTGAATTTCAATGGGCATTTTCAGGGCTGCTGGCCAAATCAAACTATGGAAAAGATACGTAAATGACATCTCTGGATCGTGGCAGACAATCACAAATACTGTGTAGTACACATGATAATATCTTTACTTTTATTCATCTCAGCTCTGTGAAGCAAAAGAAAATTGATGAAAACACACAGCTCTAACATTTCTTTAAACCTTTATTTCAAGAGTCTAGATAGATGCTGCCATTCCAAGTTCCCTGACCAGCCACCAATCTGCTGACTGAAATACCATTGTCATGTAAAAAGATCTAGCCCATGGCAAGTTTTTGATCTTGCGCTTCTATGCATTGTGAAACAGAGCTGGCTGAAGATGTTATATGCAACATCATTTAATAACCTAACTTTGCATAATGTAGCCTACTCTGACTTAAACTTGCCATTTAACCTAAAATTTGCACAGAAGCACAAGTGCAAAAACTCTCTACTGTGTTAAGATTACTATGCTACACAGCGTCACAGCTTGAAAATGTTAACACATTAATTAGGAGACAATTGAATTTGCACAAACAAATAATTAGAGGCACATGACTGCCATATGGCTCCAGATTAACATCTGTATAAAGGGTTGAAAGCACTGAAAAGCACCGAGTCTTGCTACACACTATGGTCTTGATCGGCTGACATGCGCTATGTACAGTTGTCCACGGTGCATGCCAAGAATTTGGTTTTTAGATCCCAGAGTAAACTTTTATGGCAAATCGTTGGTAATTTCGAGATGTCCTATGTATGTTGATGTCCATGTAATGAAACCCCTGCATATACCTGCTAGCAATTCCCAAATTATGAATATAAATCACATACCTGATCAGTCCTATATTTTCTTTGTTCCAGAGTCAAATTAATCCATATGACATTCAAAAAATCAGCATTGAATGTAATGAAATGCCAATTTCTGGGTGAGGTCCAATTTCTCCTGGAAACTACTGAACTGATCTATTGCCAAACGACTGGGTGCAATCAGTCAAGAAGTTCTTATTGGCCTACTGGGGACCACAAGCAAGAACCTTGTGCATTTGATTTTCAAATGCACAAGGGCCCCCTCAAAGAGACACAGGGAGCAGTGGCTCTATGAAAACATTTTATTTGTAAATTTATTCATGTCATCCACCACCAAGGAAAGGCAACCAGAAAATCAGCAAAACCAAACAGACCACTGCTTGGTTAGAAATGAGACCACAGCGTCAAAATCAGTTAAAAGAACTCCAACAATGTAAACAAATTATAAAAAATTTATAAAACTAGCACGAGCTAGATCGTCCCACCTCTCCCTCTCATTTGGGCAGAGGAGGGAGGCAGACTGGGTCAGCCAGCTGTTCCACCACCAGCCTTTATGATAATGAAAACCAGCCTAATGCCTTGGGGCAGGGAGGGTGTCAGGGAGTCACCGATGCTCACCCAGAAAATGGCGTTTCATTACATTCAACGCTGATTTTCTTGGGGTAAAGCCCCTTGTGGCTCCCTGAAGCTAACTACCCACAGAGAAGGAAAAAAAGGGTACACACCAGGGAGGAGGAAGCACTGCAAGAATTAGAACAAGGAAGAGACCAACAGCTGCAATACACGACCCAAGGTCACACAAAGCCACAGAGGACCAGAAACTATCACAAGATACCTGGTACCAAGATCCTGTTCGACCTCCCAAAACCCCCACTCCCAAATATTATCCCAAGACATATCGGCAAAGACAGATGAGAGCGCCACACAATTGCACACATGAGCACGAAGGTAGGCCACAGGCTGGCTATTTAAAGACACTGCCAATGACCTGAAAATCACTAGCCCTGGAACAGGGAAACTGGAAAACTGGATCAATCCAGAGTCCACTGAAGCAAAACTGGTGGCATGAAAGAGGCAGCACAAGGCCACCACTGGACAAAGCACATAATGTACCCTCAGCCAAACCAACCAAGCATCCCCGACCAAGGGACCCCTCCAGAAACCAACTGACTCATTTTTCACCAAAAAAGATGGCGCCAGCTGCGAATGACAAAATTCCCACCAGGGACAAAAGAACAAAACCACATCTGGTATTGAAGGAGAGCATGAAACCGAAAAGCTCTACTGCTTTTAAACCCACCTTACAACCAAAAGCCAGAGAAAAAAAAATCAATGCCAGTTGACAACAATCTTAGATGAAAGGGGCTACAGTAAAGCCGAGTGGACGAAAAAAAGAAATAACCCGATGCAAGGACCAGGCAGGTCAGACAGTGCATGAGCAGGCCAGAGGTGAAACAAAAGCATGAAAAAGTATGCAAAATAGGGCCAAAGTGACATTTATCCTGAACACAAACTGGAGCAGCTCCACCAATGCCACACGATAAAAGATGACAGTATTTTGCATAAGATACTAATCAAGGAAAAACCAAGAAAGAAAAGATGAAACAATCTGCTCAGAAATTGAATGCAACAACAAAGGGACAAAAAATTGTGGAAGGTATGCCAGAAAATCTTGTACTATTGCTGGGAAGACCACAGGAGGGACACCTTTAAACCAGCCACCTGTTCACCAAAGTCCGACCGACTAAACAAGGCAGAGCCACAGAAAAACGCCCAGGTTCAGTCACAAAGCAACCAATGCATGAAAACCAAGGCTGGGGCGGCCATCAAGGAGCCAGAATAATCATCCTTACCTGTAGGACTCTAACCGCACCAGCACCTGCAGCAACAGCTGGACTGTGGAAATGGTAAATGTGCCCTCACCTCGACCAGTCCACCCGAAAAGCAGTCACCGCAAAACATCGCAGTTTGGGAACGGCGCTGCATAAAAAGGCAGACGCCGAGACCATACCAACACAAAGCGATTGATGCCAAGACAATACCAAAGCAAAGAGGTTGACATCTGGCCATCAAACACCTGACAAAGCCACAGGAAAGAAGTGGCATCAACACCCCATTCTGTGAAGACAGGAAGGCACCTGGACAGACTGGCTGCCAGGACGTTGGACACTTTCTGAATATGAACGGGATGGAAAGCCAAACCCAAAGAACTCAGCAGAAACTGGAACTGTCTACACCAATATAAAAACTGGTAGTAGAGCAGCCGACTGACCTGGAATGCCTCCCTCCTTCCCCAAAACGAGGGGAGGGAAGAGGTAGGGTGATCTAGCTCGTGCCAGTTTCACAATTTTTTTTTAGAATTTCTTTACATTGTTCAGGAGTTCTTTAAGTTGTTTTGAAGCCGCTGTCTCATTTCTAACCAAGCAATGATCAGTGTTGTATCGCTAACTTTCAGGGTGCCTTCCATTGGTGGTGGCTGACATGAATAAATTTACATATACAAATTTTTCATAGAGGTACTGCTCCCTGTGCCTCTCTGAGGGGGCTCGGTTCTTGCTTGTGGTCCCTGGTAGGCCAATAAGAACTCCGCAACTGATGGCACCTAGTAGTTTGGCCCTTTATCAGTACAGTGGCTTCAGGGAACCACTGGGGCTCCCCCAAGAAATACTGTGATATTATTTATGAAGCTCATTCCAGAATTTAAATTGTGACTAAATCATCCTCAGAGCAAATATAACATTTGAATGACAATACTGTACTGTCATTCATAAACAGCAAATTTAAACCTTATAAATGATGTTGCTCAAGTAGAAATAAAGAATTATTATTACTGCTTGAGTTTATGCCAGACGTTTTGCCCTAGGGTGAAGCCAACTATGCTGGAGCTCAATTGTTTATTTGACTCTGGAGGATAATCAGTGAAAGGAAAGAAATACATAAATTTTGTGCATCGTGTTGATGGATGATAACTAGGTTTACTGAGAAGTTATTCAACTCATGTCAAATGTAACAAGAACAAAGTGTCCATGAAGCTGAACAGTGCCATGGTCATCCACCCATAATATAATAATAATTCCCGCTGTCAGGGACAGGAAGCCTGTACTTAAACTTATTGAGGCCCCCTGAGGCCAACTACTGACAATCTGCAGGATGTAACCCATGGCAGTTGGCCAACTCCTGGGACTTATTTTACTGCTAAGTTAACAGGAGGCCTCAGGTAAAAAGAAATGTGACCTTCGCCTAGAAATTGAACCCAGGATTCCCAACTGAGACAAGGAGTGTTCAACTGTAAGCAAAACAACCAGCATTGAATGTAATGAAATGCCATTTTCTGGGTTGAGCCCCGGAGGCTTCCTGAAGCTAACAAACTGATATCTGCTATATTAGTCCAGAGCATCAGTTAATTGGAGTTCTTTGCCTACCAGGAACCATGAGCCAGAATCTGGTTTCCCCAAAGAGGCGCAGGGAGCAATGGCTTATGAACACTCCACTCCACTTATCACCCACAAAGGTAGGAGAACCATTACAAACCCCTACTGGAAAAACATTGCAACCCAAGACCGAACAGAGCCCAAGAACTTCCCCCCAAGAGGAAACTACAAACAAGCAAATGTCTAATCAACTAGCATGCCCGCTCGTTAGCGACCCCCCTTCCCCAGGAGGGGGAAGGGGGCACGACCCAAGTGCTGACACTGGCAGTTCATAGACTGATGATAAACTGTCGACTGGAGGGAGGGAGGATGTCAGGAAGCCTCCCGGGCTCAACCCAGAAAATAGTATTTCATTACATTCAACGCTGGTTTTCTGAGGGAAGTCCCTGTCTGCTCCCTGAAGCTATATACCCAAAGATAAGTAAAAGGGACTTACCCGGGAGGCTAAATCGCATGCCTCACGATAAAGATGGGACAACTGGCTACGACAGATGCCCCAAAGCCACACAAGGCCGCTGAGGATCCCAGGCCGTTCACAAGATAACAGGCATCCAGGACCTTGATCGACCTCCAAAATCCCCATGTCCGAAT